GACAAATTTCGGCAGGTCCGTTACTTCTTTTGAGTCTCTCCGTTATGTCCGGCTAGCGACTAATGTTTCGGCGGAAAAATTTTCGTGGCGCAGCGACATGTGAGTGCCCTAATATTTTAGGAGCATTATTGTATATCGAAAAAAAACAACTAATATTGTTTTATAAAAGTAAATTATTTGATTATAGTAATGCTTACGTATTATACATTAATATTACAATATAATTTTTTAGTTAAGTTATAGAAATTTAGTTCGTTAAAATTTATTGAAATATTTAAAACATTTCAATAGTACCATTTTTGAAGAATTCCTTTTTATATTTTTTACTAAAAAAAGTAAAAGTTATGTAGTCGGATATTTTTCGCTTTAGAAAGGGTATAGGTGCAGTGGCACGCGCCTACTGCGAAGAGAAAACAAGAGAAATCATTCATTCTGTTTGAGTTATTGAAAGGGAAGCAAGCCATTTAAATTGTGCGCAGCAGATTTACTTCTTTCGTTTTTTAAAGTGAAAATAATAAAGTCAGGTAAGTGTTACATTAAGTTGAAGATGTTGTGCCTTGATCTTAGTTTAAAGTATTAAGGTATTCAATGGGTTCCGTTAGCCGAAAGTTGATGATGAAATGTTTTGCGCCAATAAAAATCCCGCAAAGGGTGAAACACAGCTCTAATAGGTAAATATGCAAATAAACAAATAAAACGCATTTTTTAAGCATATGACCATAATTTTTTATCAGGAGCGTTGGCCAAGGATTCGGAGGACCCGGACAAAGGTTTAAGGAAGGCGATGACCAATGTAAAAAGCAAATTAACGTAACATAAAATTAGGCTTACTAACAATAATTGTCCCTTAACAGAAAACCTAAATAACATTATTTAATTAAAATATATTTAAAAGTATATACAAATTTATGTATTTTAAATTCTATAAGTAAAAACTCATGGGAAAAATTCTGATTTTCACAAGTGATTTCACTTGGGACGTGTCACTTGCAAGTGATTTCATAAGTGAAAACTCATGGAAAAAATTTGATTTTCACAAGTGATTTCACGTGTCACCGGCACGTGGCAGGCCATACGAAAAATGAGTATAAGGAACAAGTGAAATCCCGTGGGACTTCGAAAAATTTTCATTTGAATTTTCACTAGTGAAAATGCGGACTTGTTCTTCACTTGTGCAAGAGGACATGTCCCACGGGATTCACAAGGTGATTCACAAGTGAAACTTTTTTTTTGGAACTGAAGGGACTGGCTACTTGACTATTACTAAACTAAATACTAAGAGACGAATGGTAATTGTAAAGGGTGAGCATTGGTCCAGCCGCATGTGAGATGGAAGTTTGTTGCAGTAGAATAAGGCTCTACACAGAGGCTCATTAAGCTGGAATGAAAAAAGGTTCAAATGTCCTTTAAGACCTACCAGGCACGGAAAAGCTTATGCTGCCCAGCAATGCAGGGCAGTCTATTTTGTAGGACAGCAGGTCACAAATAAAAACTAGTGCGCTAGTTGCTCTGCGATCTTGTAGGGAAGAAAGGTGCACAAGACGACATTTCGCAGAGTAAGAGGGGACCGGGTCATTAAAGTTTAAAGAAAGAAGGGCAAAAGGTAGGAATTTTTTTGAACACGGTCGATACGATTGATGTGTGTAGTACCAGTCGAACTCCAAACAAACGAAGCATATTCCAATCTGGACCTAATGAACGAATCTATAAATTACGTCGATTTTCGTTTTACAAACCCATACATAGCGTATGCTTTCGGAATTATGTTATTTATGTGATCAATGAAAGTAAATTTGGTATCAAACATAACTCCTAGGTACAGGTATTAATTTCTTAAGGAAAGAATTTGGGAACTAATGCCATACGAGCAAAGGACATTAAATAATCGTTTGCTGTACCTAACGTAGAAACATTTTGACAAGTTCAGAGGCTCAGAGGCAACTTATTACGAGAACACCAATTTCCCACTTTTACTAGGTAATTTTGAAGAAGTTCACTATCGGAGATGGAATTCTGGAATTATGACTGATAAACGAGTGGATGCAAACAAGATTGAACGTAGCTAAGTTAGTGGTAGTTGACCGTCCAGGCATAAAACCATGTTGGTTAGGACTGATGATCCCACCAGCAAGAAAAATTAGCTGCTTAGCTACACAGAGAAAAAAACGGAACAATACCCGTTTGATATTGTCTCCTCAATTTTCACATATCAATTTTTTCATATCAAAATTATTCGAATTCATATCAATATGATACGAAATCATATCAACTTTAAATGTTAATATGAATCCGTATCATAATGATATGAATACTTAGCAAGTTGATAAGATTTCATATCAAACGTAACATCGAAAAGTCTTCGAAAAAATAGTATGACTATAAATTCGTCCTTTTTGTGTATATTCTGTGTACAACGGTATAATTACGCTTTGTATGCGGTGGTCCCACTTTTATTTACTGCGTCAATTTTAGTGTAAAACGTGACAAAAGAAAAGTTAAAGGTGTTTATAAATGTAATTACTTGGTAAGTATGTATAATTTTAACTAAATTACTTTATTTGTGCATTAGTTTGTCGAAGTACCATGGAGGATCCACTTTTGCTTCAATTCCTTACGGACCTCGAGGTCGATTTGGTTGTGCTTGACCTGCTTTTAGGTTTTTATAAATCAACATATTTGCACATATATATATATATATATATATATACATGTGTAAGCCATTATTAGTTGAGACTTATTATTGCAATATATTCCTAGAGTGTGGATACAACTACGAAAGGCTGCAGTACATTAGTGCTTCAGATCTTGATTTAATATTTTCCAAGAGAGAACATCTTGGTCTGAAATCCGAGTTCCACGAGAAACTCCAAAAATGGAAGCGAGCACAAGTAAGTTTAATTTTAAATATTTTCATAATAGGTTGTAATAATTTCAAATTTTAGCACATTGATGTCTGCGCAGGGGATACGACACCAACATATAAAGGAAAGGTGACATTATTAGTTCTAACTAATGGTTTCTAGCTTAAATATTATTAACTTTAATCAGTGTTTATATAATTTATTTTTGTGGTTCTATACGTTAATCTAGAAAATAAATTTTAAATAAAACTACAAATTTGTTTCTCTGGGTATGAGTTAAGTGTCGAATTGATTTGACAAAATATCAGTTTGATAAGAAAGAATACCAGTTTAATATAGAAAAACATAACGTGTTAAAATGATTAAAAGTACAAATTTATATGATAAAATATTAGTTTCTTATGAAAAAGTATAAATTTGATATGGAAAAACATAACATGTTAAAATAAAAGAAATGTCAAATTGATACAAAAAAAATATCAGTTTGATATGAAAGCATATCAGTTTGATGTGAAAGCATATCAGTTTAATATGAAAGCATATCAGTTGCATATTAAAAAATACCACAATTTGGTTACAACTTTGATATGTGCTCATATCAATCTGGTATGAAAAATACCAAATTGACATGTTCGAAAATATCAATGTCATATGTTCGAAAATATGAATATGATATGGCAACATAAGGAATCAAAATTGATATGAAAAAATACCCGATTGATGACCACTTTTGGTATTTTTTTTTCTCTGTGTACAATTCGTTCAAACATTTTCAAGACATTACTTAGCTTTGCAATTGGCCTATAATTTAAAACCATATTTTTGTAACTAGACTTGAATATAGAAGAAACTGTGGCAAGTTTCCATCAATAAGCAAATACGCCAGTGGAAAGATACAGGTTAAAGGGGCTCAGGTTTTAAGGGGCTCACAAAGAACTATACAGTTTTCCAAAATAAATGGAGAAAGGCAATCGCTGTTAAATTTTTCTGAGTCTTTAAAACTCTCAGCCGCCATATAGCGGTCAAAATCAGTGACATCTAAGCACCCAATATTTAGCATCGTGGCAATGGCCCTGAGTGAAACATCTTCATTCCACAGCGAACTCGGTTCAAAGTTAGATGCAATGTACTTAGCGAATAGATTAGGGACCCCAATATCCGAGGAAGCTGAAAGACTTTCAAATGACACATGGGAAGGAAAATAAGAGGTTGTTCGTTTAGAATTGACAAAGTCCCAGAATGATTTAGGATTGGTAATTAATTTAAGCTCTATATCATATATATATATATTTTTATATTTTTTTAGTCCTATTGTGTACCATGGTAGTTTATAACTACTTCGAACTCTAGCTTTAGCGTATCTGCCTACAATAGTATAGAGAAAATACAAAAAAAAACTTCATAGCTAGTATTCACTTCAGCATGCGAGAGGACTTCCAACCATCTAATGTTTGAAATATCATTACGGATAGAATCTAAACTGCTAGAATTAATATAAGTAAGAGGCACGCGAGAATTATTTGGTGAATAAATATAACAAGTAATTGAGATTAATAGGGGCTTGTGATGAGCATCACACGCGGCTAGAGGATTATCGCTGCAACATAAATTCGGGCTTAAATCAGGATGTACAAAAATTAGATCTATACTTAAGTTATTAAATTCATGGTTGATCTGGACTTATCCCATACTAAGAAGCTCATCGATGACAAAGATTTCGTGGGGAAAATGCAAATTACTGGGAACCATTGCTGAAAACTCAACATCAAGAGCCCACACGAGCGAAGATTGGTTGAAGTCGCCCAAAACAGATATATACTGGCCATCTTCCAGCTTCTGGTATAGGTGGGATAATATTGTTCACATGCGCTTTATATTAATCAAAACTGCTGCTTGGGGGTATGTATGATTTTGTTGGTAGATAAGGGCGTAAGGTTATTGCTTATTTAAAATAAACTGTATTTTAAATTGTTATATTTGAAATTGTGGGCGCCACATTTAACATGATTAATACCCAATTTCTAGCGGTTCGTGGTTTGTTCAGGTCAATTGATAGGTACTGGAGGGAGCTCTTAATTTTAGAATTTAAATAACTATTTGAATCAATTCATAGATTAACATACTCATTCTTCCTTACAGATATCACCTTCGGAATATTTTAAGACATGGATTTTTAAAATTGAAAATTCACACTTATATTGGTTTTGGAATTGGAAAGGTTTACTCTCAAGAATTCCGACTTATCGAATTTACCAAAATATATGTTGAACTCCGAATAGAACCCGTTGCTGCTGTGGACTAACAATTCGTAGCCGGAAGTAAAAAAACTTTTTGCTAAGAAGCAAGGAGTTATACATGTAACTTAGGGGAAGTTCGCAATAAAAGCGGCTACTGCTTAAAGACATACTGGAACATCGGTGACTCCCAGTAACAACATAGTTTAATACAAAATTTGTAAGAATACCAGTGAATTAATAGTATTTATACCTGCGAATTTATGATGGAGTCTCGCCCGGAGTGGAGGATACACCGCTTTAACTACCGAACCCTTCATCTTCGTGTAGTTTTCTTTGTCTGGGCCTTAATATGGACCCAGTACCTAAACTGTGTCTTCTGTGGTGAAAAATTGGGTAAGGTGCTATAATGATCTTTTATTTTCAGCTCGACTTCATCACACTATTTACCCTTATAATTACAAAGGTCGACATAATACACAGATAAACCTAAAAGGCGTTTACCTGTAGATTACTACCCAAGGCTTGAAAACTTTCCCTCACGTCACAGCTTTAAGAAAATAGTTTTCAAGCTCAAAATTTTCAATTTGTATGCCTTTTTACGAACTAATAACAGCAAAATCATTCGAAGCCTAGATCCGAAATGAACCTGAAATGGTATGGAAGTGTAGGACATAACGAACGATTAGTTTGGAATGTCACTTGCATGATGATGTTGAAAGACCACGAGTTGACAATTTAGGACCCTTAAAACGGTAGCTCATTCCGGGTGGGGTATGTTCTTGCTGATGCCTAAACTTGACACTACGAGCAACAAAACCTTCTTTAAAATGAAATGCCAAGGCAAAAATAAAACTAATTAGTTAATAGGTACGATCTTCAAGGAATTGCAAGGGGGTGGCGTTGATGCGAGAGGCCACAGGTTTTCTTAACCTACCCGACCATGTTTCTCTCAAAAAAAAGATGAAACCAAATGTTAGTTTATTCCGCCATGTCTAATAAAAACTTAGAAATTCATCGTGATATGTATCTCTGTATAATTCATAATATAAATTGTAAAAATAACTGCCTGATATTCATTTAAAAGCTGTTTCCAGAAATTCCTGGTAGTTACATAAGTTCTATTAAACTGGGTTCAAGTGTTTTTCATTCCTTTTTTGATTCTGATTTAATTTAACTTTACTTTGCGTTTAAATTACAATAAAAATTATTTCGTTTCCCACAACAATACCAACTGAAACAAATTAGGGTTAGCATAGAAAATATGGGAGAATAACAATTTGCATAATCAATAGTCGTTATCAGCCAAACTAAAGGTAAACCGGTACAGAAAGATCATGATCAAAACAAAAAACCAAATACAATAGCTGTACATGTTAGGCAATACCCGTAGGCAAGCTGGCGATCGAAGATTACATTTACGTATATCTTTTATCTTTCTGCATGGTTTCGGAAACGTCACAATGAATAATATTGTTGTGCTTCTTTTACTTTTTATGTCAGTACTTAATTTTTAATTGGCTGCTGTCTCCGTTAGCTTTTATTTGTTATAACACATCACCCACTCAAGTTGCTCGATGAAGTTGTAAATAACATTATTGTTTTGTCCGTTGATCTCCATTCAATAACCCATCGGCTGGCTTGTTGTTATGGCAAGTGTTAGGTATTACGTATTTAACATTTTAATTAAATTTACAGTTTTAACTTGTTCAAGGTTCTGAATTGATTGTTTAAGTTTGTTTGTTGATTCTTAAACTTTTACATGGGTGTTTTATGGTTTTATTTGGATGGCTTTATATCCCCGCTATAAATTTGAACTACATGCCTGCCAACGATATGAGCCTCTGGTTTTTTAAGAGTTTATTGCGATCACTATGTTTTACACTTCGCCTTTTGCCTTCTTGCGAAGAATTCTGCTTGTTCTGAGGGAGAATTTTTGACGGCTCAACCAATAAACGGGACAGTTAGAGGTCACTAGGGCCCACCAAACGGAAAGACAGTAAGCTGGTATTTCGAACTTTACCTCGACTCTCAATATGATGTAGGGATGCTATTTGAAGAACCACTATTTGTCATTCACAGGGGATTTTCGAAAAAGGTGAATATCTGGTATTATTGTGGCGGCCTCTATTTATTTTTAAATGAAAGAATTACTTTGACCAATAACATTTTTATTTTTAAAACAATAGTAACAAGGCTACCGAAAAACAAATATTTTTTAATTTAATATTTTTTTTGGTAACATTTCAACGGAGTTACATCATAAAGCTCTTGGAGTAATTCATCGTTTTTTTTCCATTTTCAAAAGTTGTAGGTGACTACAAAACAAATAGAAACAGGAAAAATAATTTTTTATGATTTTTTGAAAATGCTTAATATAAATTACTAGAGCCACTTTTGTATACCCTTACAGAGGGTATAATGATTTCAGTCAGAAGTTTGCAACGTAAACTAGTCTCTCAGTTTTAAAGCTATCAGGCTGAAACTTTCCCAAAAGTTTTATATACTTTGCAGGTAGTATATAAGTCGGAACCAGCCGGATCGGACAACTATATCTTATCGCTCCCATTGGAATAATATGAAAAAAACATTTTAAAAAATTATTTCTTTGGTGTTTATTAACATATAAACTCCTACGCTTGGATATAAAATTTTTTAGTTAGTTCTGAATTTTAAATTTAATTTTAATCATATATGGACGTCTTATCATATAGCTGCCATAGGAACGATCGGAAAATTGGTGGAAAAATAATATGAAACAAAATATAGATTCGGTGTTTTTTAACATATAACCCCTTACGCTTGAAAATCAAATTTTTTAGTTAGTTCTGAATTTCGCATTTAATTTTATCAAAATCGGACGATGAACGATCGGAAAATTGGTGGGAAAATAATATGAAACATATTATAGCTTCGGTGTTTTCTAAAATATTATCTTATATAATTGGGAATATCATTATTTGTATTTTTAAATTTAATAATTATAACTGCAAGGGTATACAAGTTTCAGCTTGGCGAAGTTAACTTCCTTTCTTGTTTTTTGACTGAGATCGTCTCATTTAAAAACATTAAAAAAATATATAAGAAAGAAATTTTTAAAAATTCTATTTGCAGTTACTATAAATTTTGTTCCGGAAAACTAATCATCAAAACATTTTTGTTTTCAGCCGAAGAACAAAGTTCATAAAGTAGACTTTTACAAAAATTCGACATTTTCAATAAGTGCTAAACGTGTTAAGAAAAGTTTTGTATCATTCAATCGATTTATAAATGACTTTTCCTTTGATGCCTAAATGTACGTGAAGTAAGTTAAATAGTCCGATTTAAGTATATATTTCTTTTGTTTCGTCAAAATACTAATGCCGACTAGTGTATGTAACTAGTAGTAGGCAGCTTTTCCAACCCCATAACGTATATATATTGATAAGGATCAATAGCCGAGTCGATCTAGCCATGCCCGTCTATCCGTCTGTGTGTCCGTCCGTATGAACGCTGTGATCTCGGAAACCACGAGTATAAAAGCTGGTAAATTGGGATTTGGCATGTAGATTCGTGGGCTTCGTACGCAGCGCAAGTTTGTTACATGTGCCACCCACAATTTTCAAGCAGGAACAAAAATGAAATGTATTTGTCTCGTCAATACCAATCGATTGACCTACAAAAAATCTAGTGGTATGTGAAAGCCACATTACCTAGCCAACAGCAGATTGATATTGGGTTGGATCAATCTTTTTGCACTGATCGCGTGTGCAAGCTACCTGGAAACCTGTATCTACTCGTGTGGTCGACTGTCTGAATTTTCAATGTCATTTGCTTCCAGTAAATCCTTCATATACACCGAATGGCCCAGGGAAATTGCTCCTAGCTCTGCATCACGCTCTATCTAAACGCCAAAAAAAAAAAATGTTTAGTGAGCCTTTGTCCAAATATTCGAAAGACTTTGAGATACTCGATTTGATCCTGAGCAAATTCCCTTTTTACTGATGGGCATATCATCAACATACACGAGGATTAGCGAGAGGCTTCCACTTCCACTTTGGTTGTAAGGGTGTGCCTTGAGCCGTTCTATTTGGCCATACTTGTCGCGGTTAACGTTGAATACCCATTTGCATACGATCGCACGATGATTTCCTTGTAAATCTTCCATATGCCAGATCTGGTTTGCGAAAAAATAATCGTATTATCTTTGCATTGCATCACGCCATTCGAATGAACACGGACTCCTCCTAGCCTTTTTAAATGTTGCTGGTATCGGGACATCTTCTGACACTAAGTCACCTAGTATGTTATGCTGCTCTTTGGGTCCGGATGAGCTTCGGCCGACCAGGCCCTACAGGTATATCCTTTTTTATCTTTATTATCCTTTTCTTCCATAAGCTTTGCAACCCCCATGATTTTGTTCCTATCAGCTCCACCAGTTTCGCTTGAATATTGACCGTCAATCTTAATGAGCTTCTGGAAAAAATCAATATGTTCTTTATTATCATCTACTGCATAATGATTTTCATCAAAAAGGACCTGTCTTTTTAAATTATTAGTCACGTAGTTAAGTTGTATAGACATAGCCTTTGGCAGCCACTGAGCATCCAACCATACTATACTCCTTGCCTTGGTTAAAACTTCCTTACATTTCGTGGACCTTCGTCCAGAGCAACCGCAATAGAACCTAAAACCTTTACATGTCTTATACAAGGTTTCTTACCAGTCCACGTTTGTATACGATTTAGTAAATAAACAGCTGTGTTATTAGCCTCAGTCCATAAGGATTTGCATAGTCCTGACTGCACAAAGAGGCATCTAGACACTTCCACTAACGTCCTATTAGCCCTTTTAGAAACGTGTGGCGTGTAATCTTCAATAAGCTGCCTAGCGATACCATGATGACGAAGAAAGTCATCGAACTCTTTGTTGACGAATTCTCCCCGTCGTCCGTGGGAAGGAATTTCAGCTTTCTATCTGTCTTCCGTTTAAGCAGATTCTTAAACTCCTTGAACTTTGATAGCACTTCATTTTTCTTGCAAAAGATATAAACAAAAATCCTCCTGGATTTGTCATCGATGAACGTCAGGAAATACTTTGATCCCATCAGCGATTGTGTGGGAAACGGTCCACATAAATCTGCATGTATCAGCTCTAAAAGTGAATCTAGGTGAGTAGGACCGTTTTGCAGGACCTTTGCATTTTGCAGACCTGGATTCACCATGCATCTGTTTTTCACCGCACTGCCAAGCGACTTAAAATTTCCATGCATTTTTGGAACATGAAGCACATTCTTCAAGGGGACCATACACAGCACCTTCTTCAACTTTAAATCACCTTTGCCTTCAGCTTCAAGGAAACCAGCCTCGCCAAGATCAATAAACTCCGTGTATTTGTCGAATTTAGTGAAAAGCTCT